GCCCTTCGGTTTCTTCTCCCGGGAAAATAGCATCACCCCGGGTCCCGTGCCTGTGTGTGCGTGCTTGTGCACGGATGTGCGTGTGCACGCGCGTGTGCACGTGCTGGTGCAGGTGTGCTCTGAGGACGAGGTTTTAAAACCGTAGTGTAGACGCGGAGCTTTCCGCAGAGCCAGAGCGGGAGCCCGGCCTGGGGGGGCCCCCCCCGCCCCGCCCCCCCTCGCGTCCCGGGCCGATCGGAGAACAGGGGACACCGGCAATCTTTCAGCTCAGTTTATTTTCACAAGACAGATGGGAACCTGGGATAGGTTCTAACAAGAGTCCGTTTCTTTATAAAGAAGAAAAGTTGTTCCTTGGTTTTCTCCACAGAATGAATTTGTTCTTACAAAAAAATAATTTTTGATATATACATGCCTACATTGGAAAACCTTTTGTTCTTGATGGCTTTTAAGACCCATTTTTAGGCAGAGGGTCACTTAGCACTTTATGCACCTGCTGAGTTTCGCCTTTGCCCTTGCCAGATGGTCACTGTCCTTTGCAATTTCCCCTTCTAGAAGCATCTTCTATGAAATGGAGAAGCTTGAAAAGCGCAGCCAGCCGGACAGCCTCAAGGAGAGCGCCAACCCCCTCCCCGAGGGGTGTGTGCGGATGGCCGGCCCGCAGGCCGGTGGAGGCCGGGGGGGGTCCCCCACTCCCCGGGGAGACCTAGGCTAGAAGCAAAGGAACAGAAGGAGGCTGCGGTCACGCCCCTCTCTACTGTGAAGGTTCTGTCCTTCTCTGCGACAGCAGCAATTTCAATAAACACGCATGGCGCCTGCAGCATTTTATCTGGAAAGTACCATCGCTCAGGCAGGTTTGCACATGCCCACGTACAAAGGGAGCCTTATGGAGCATGGCAAACACAGCCAGCTGCTTGGGACACGTTTTTAAGATCCACGGTAGCTCCACTGAGCCCCACCCCACCCCCACAGGCTCCTAGAGGCCAGAAATACCGCTCTCCTCAACTACCTACAGCTTGTGAGTAGCAAAACTTGTAAAAAATGAAGTGTACAAAAGGAAACATTCATATAGTACATTTGCACCCTGTATATAATTTATCACTCTTTGAAACTGGCCGACAGTCAGGTACGATAGGTTATCAGTAATAGAAAATGAACCCCAGCATCCGCCGCCTGCACCGAGTCAATGGTGTGCGTGGTTTTTCCCGAGAGAGAGATCCCCATTACAGTTATGGTGCTTACGGACGGTCTTTATGATCAAGTAGCCAGTTGAATTTCCCGGCATTTAGGCAAGTCACGCCTGATTGTCACAGCGCACGATTCTGAGACAATAAATACAAGCAGCGCAGATGCGTTTCTTCATCGAATCAAGTCACTCTGGTTTAATTCAACCAGTGCATTAATTCAACCAGTTTAATTCATTTAGTGCAAGTCAGTGCCTCATTCACAGTGTGACTTCTGTCCCCTTTTGCAACAAGAAAGAAACTAAAAAGTCCATGAGCAAAGAGAACGGCGGGTGGATTTGTCATGACAAGGCTTAAAATTTTTGAGCGATTGTCTCTGAAAAGCACAGTCGGCCGCTGGCAGGGCTGACCGGTGTCAACTTCTCAGGCCATCTCCTGGGTCCCCTAAAAGTGCTCTTGTCCTTCTATGTCCCCGAGCAGTTTATGGGAACGTCAACGTTTCATCGAACTGGACAGCAGCAAATGCTTGTGGTAACACTCAGTTCACGTGTGTCCACCTCTCCGCCAAGCAGAATGGAGTGTGAGCTCTTTTGCCCCAAACCCAGCCCTGGGTGTGTGTCCGGGCCCCAAGCGGAGAAAACATGGAGCCCGGGGGTGGCGTCCACGTGCACCCCGGTGGCCCCAGGGCCCAGGTGCTCACAGAGGCTCGCTTTTCTTCTGGAGCTACGAGAGAAAGGGGCGGCACGTGGGCCAGGGACGTGCCGTGTCCAGAGGAAGCAGGCAGGCGTGCCAGGCCCCCCGGTTTCGACCCTAAGCCTGGTTACACTGCAGAAGGGTTAGAAGCGCATCGCACCGCTGAACCGAGGGCCGCATGCCCGCGAAAGCATGCAGGTTTGGGGAGAAATCTGAAGCAGCAGTTTTCGCACGAGGTGAACAGTTCGGCTGAGAATCCACAGGCTGGAAAGATCCTATGTGGCCTGTCCTAGGAGGGTCTCAAGCAGAGACAAAGCAACATGCAGAGAGTTACGTGCTCCTCACCCCAAACAGGACACAAATCAGCAGCCACACGGGCACGGACAGGCTGGAGACTCTCTCGAACTGCACATGACCGCACGCACTACTTTTTCTCCAGATCGGCTTTAAGCTCGGTAACTAAATGGGTGGAAGGAAGGGCTCCCGAGCCGTGGTGCACGGGGAGGGGGTAACGGGGACAGACGAGTGGAGATTCAGAGCCACGAGTGGCCACGGCTGCACTGGTTACAAGGCAGTGCCGCTGCCGTCGTTCTCTGCTGCTCGTCAGCGGTCTGTAGACTCAGAGCTCGTCTCTACAACTAGACTGTGTGCTTCCTGAGGACAGGGGCCGGAGGGGACACAGAAGCGTGGTGCCACCAGGGCCAGTGTGACCAGTGCCACTTCTGCCTTTGGATTAATTGCAAAAGAGGACATGCTCTCTTTCTGACCAGCTAAGCCCGTCCCCAGGGCCTCCTCGCCTGCATACGGTGGGGACTGTCGCTGACTTCGCCATCACAGAGCCCCCGGGTGCTGTTAGCTGCCAGAGTCACTGGGAACTGCCACAGGCACCTTAGAAGCCTCTGGAACTCCAGAATCTGTGGTCCTCTCCCCAGCTGAACACACGGTGGGGGGGGGGGGGGGGCACGACCCAAACTCCACTCGCTGGGCAGGGCATGCAGGGAGGACCAGGCATGGCACCTGGCGCCTGAGAGAGGAGCTGCCCGTGGTCCCCAGGCTGGGAGCCCTCTGCGCCTCCAGCGGGTAGGTGGGGGCGCGGGTTCTGGAGGCCCACGTAAGGGGCGGTCTGGCCAGCAGAGGGGGGCTGCCGACACCTGCCGTCCTTACCGGCCCCCGGCCCAGCGTGGAGAGCGCCAGAGGCCAGGCCCCGGGGCACCCCCACCCCAGCAGGCCGGGGGGGTCCAAACAGGCAGCCTCAATTTGGATGAGACGTCAGCAACCAACGATGTTCGGTTGTGGGGCATGAAGGATAAGAAAAAAGAAAAGCACTATTCTGCCATTTATTAATTTTGAAAATTAAAGGAGCTCCCTCTCCTTTTCCTTCTAAAGTGGATGAAAAGCAAAATCCACCCCCTCCAGAAAACCAAAAAACCCCAAACATTCATGGTGTAGTTTTTATTGCTCTCAAGGTCTTGGTATCAAATGCACGAGCTCATCTGTTGTTAGATCAGAAGGGAATCACCGAGATTTAAAACCTACGCCTGCGCTCCGCCTCCGCGGTAACGGGCTGCGCACGGGCCCCCGGCGCGCTTTAATTTCAAGGGCAGGGAAAGGTCTGGCCGAGGAGAACTATGAATTAAAAGGTACAAGACCGCAAGTGGGGCCTTCTAGGGACCGCGTCCGCATGGTAGTGCCCGCCACCCGTTCTCAAGATGTTGCAGGTGTTAGTGAGTTAGTGCAGGGCACGAACACGGAAGCCGGGAGAGCAGCCATCGCGCCAAGGCCCTCAAACAGCCCCCGGCAGAGTCCCCGTCCTGAAGACCCTGTGCTGCCCCGAGGGGGCCTCCCAACATACATACTTAGGGCTGATGCAGACTTACGTCCGATTTAGTTCGTATTTTTCCCCATGCCTCTTTCTTTCACCTTTTTTCCTAGAAAATTCAACCTGCCTCTACTCGCATGCCGGTTACAGGGCACCAGGGCTAATACCTGCTGGTTTCTCCTTCCCTTGCTTAAGAAAAAAAAAAAAAAAAGGCGAGGGGAGTGTGACTTGAAAACAGCACGCAGGGGGAGGGGGTTAAGAACGAAGTCTGAGGTGGGGGGGTGGACAGAGGGTGCTTGAGCGGAGCCTGGGGTGCCCCCCCCACCCAGGGCTGCAGCCAGGTGAGGACCCCAGAAGACACCCCGCGGCAGGGGCAGTGCTCCCGGGGTGGGGGGGGGGGGAAGCCTGCGCACAGAGGCAGGCCGTCCCAGGGGCCCGGGCGCCTGCTGGGGGCAGGGCGGGTGGGGGGTCGGGGGAGGCCCACCACCTCTACTTCTCGGGGAGCTTGGAGCCGTCAACAGACCAGTTGTAGAAATAAACCCCTAGAAGCCAACGGGGTCCAAGCGAACAGTCTCCAAACACCTCCAGAAGAGAGGCCTGGTGCCACATGCTTTTCAACAAGCATCCAAGAGGCCCGCGGGCCGCAGGGCATCCGTCCCCGGGGCTGGCGGCAGGGGTGCGGCCCGCTAGAGGGGCTGGCGCCTGAGCTGGGAGAAGGAGGGACAGAGGTCTCGGGGGCCCGTTCACTTTAGAAACAGAAGTAAGGTGCTTGCACACAGGCTCAGGTAGGAGGCAGGGAGCTGGAATGGGGCGTCCTCAACACCAGCCCAGGGGACAGGCTGCCCGTTCACCGGGCAATCGGCCCGCACTCGAGAACACCCCGCATGCGCCTCCACCCCGGGTGCACCCCCACCCCCTCCCCCCGGCTGGAAGTGTGAAGGCGGCGGGATGGACAGGTGCTCTGGGGGTCTGGGGCCCACATGTCCTCGTTCCCAGGGGGGCAGGGGGAGGTTTCCCGGGGCAAGGGGAGGAGGCGAGGGGCCAGGGGGCTCCCAAAATAACTGATAAAAAACAGAAATGAGATCTAAGTTTGAGAAGAGAAAGCATCCGAAAGCTCCCCCTGGCAGGTAGAATTCTCACGAGATTGCAGCGGGGTGGGACCCAGCACCCAGCAGCGGCCGACACCCCCCCCCCAGCACGCACGCCACCCCCCCTGCACGCACTCGCCCTCAGAGCCTGGCTCCCTGGAGGGCACGCGGACCCTGTGCAGGGGCGCGGCTGGCGTCGTCCGCAGGCCTTCGGACGGCTTTACTCTTGGCTCAAGGTTTATTGGTCAATATTAGTCACCAGTTAATAAGAAAAATAGTTTCTAAGTGTCTTTTTTCCGATCTGCGTGTGTTGTTCTGTTTTTAATTGAGTTAATTGGATACCACGGTCAGGTTACGCATGTGCAATCATCACAGCCAGCGATTATTCCTTTTTCTTAAATTCCTGGTTTCCGTAGCTAGAGCCTTTTTCTATTTCAGTTACTCCTATGAGTCGGCGGACTCCGAAGGAAGCTTTAAAATAGGAAAAAGGCGAAGTTAGACCTCTTGGCCCACCATTAGAAAAATCGTTGCTGGGGAGGGTCCCGTGGGGATGGCAGGCCAGCCCTCTCCTCTCCCCCTCCCCCTGCAGCGCTCCGCCTGTCTGGGGGGAGGGATGGCCTCTGTCCCTCCAGTGGGCAGGAGGGGGGTGTGGGCCGAGGCACATCCAGGGACAGGCTGGGTGCTGTCCACCTGACAAGGATGCTTGGGGAGTCCTGAGTGCCCACGATTGTGTTCAGGACTGTAATGGCCATGTGCTCAGAGACCCTCAGACCATCATACCCACCCACGCCCCCAAACCCCAAGGCGGACAGAGTAGCTCGGGGGACCCCCCCATAGGCGCCTGCCCAGTTCAGCGCAGGATGCCGCGAGAGCGGGCGGCCCTGGGACCTGGGGGTGGTCTCCACAACCCTGCGGCGTCACGGGCACAGCCTACTCTCCGAGGCCAGAAAGGCTCCAGGTGCCCCCAGCTCCCTGCGGGCCAACCGCCTCCGCGGCTCCCAGGCTCGGACCCGTGGCCGGCGCACAGAAGACCCCCACCCCGAGCTGGGCTATCACCCACATGCGTTACCTGCCCCGACAAACCCCAGGAACGTCAGGATCAGGAGGGGAGAGCCGCTGGCAAAGACGCCTAAGACACAGCTGAAGAGAGGGGACAGCAGGACCGTGGCCCAGAAGAGGAAATTCAAGAGCGTCCATGGCCTCCGGGCGGGCTTGAACTGCTGCCCTGGAAACACGCCCTTCTGCTTGTACATCTCCTGCAGCGCGTCCTGAAAGAGTCAGCGACAGTGGCCGCTCTGTACGCCTTCTTGTAACTGACCACGGAAACGTCCTCGAGCTACCAGAGTTCCGAGTACAGAAAGCGGCGAGCCGTGCGTGCGCGGCAGGGGCGGGACGGCGTGTCCTTGATGGGGACCCGAGGCTGCGTGCGCCAAAGCCCAAAGCCAGCCAGGCAGGCAGGCACCTCCGCCCTTACCTCCTGAAGGCGGGGCAGGTGCGGCGCGGCCTTGACCTGCTGGGAGCCCAGTCCTATACCTGCCACCATCTCCCCCGCCCCCAGGTCTCACCGGTCAGGACATCCCTTCCGGCAGGCATCTGTCTGCTTTCCCGGGTGGGGATGGGGGGCCATGGCTCTTCTCTGGGGGCTGCTGACCCCGCCCACTGCCCGTCTCGGTGGGAGGGCTCAGCCCCGCCCCACGTCTACACCTGGGAGTGGTGGGCGGCAGGAATCCTGCTCCCAGGTGTTGGGGGGGGGAGGTCAGGGAGGTGTCCAAGCCTGCTGGCTGCCCACCCGCTGTCCTGAGGGTGGACCCGCACAAAAGCCCAGTGCTTGCAGCCGCCGCAGTGCATACCCGCCCCCACTCCTTCCAGGCGGTGGCTCCGTGCCCTTCTGAACAGGGGCCTCGGCAGGAAGCGTGTGCACGCTGCCATCCAGTGTACACACATGCACGTGCGTGTGGCTCTGGCTCGCGTTTCGGGGGGAATGGCACTCACCCACACACGGGAGCATTCAGACTTGGTCACACTGGGTCTATCTCACCGCGACGGAATGCTGGGCCCAACCCGCTGGGGCCGCCTCCCGGAGCTGGCTCTCCGAGCTGGTGCCCTCTCCTCCCGACCCGCCCCCGACCCCCTGCTCCGTCCCCTGGCAGCCCCTCTGCTCAACATGCTGACGCTGAGAGGATCTCGACCACCAATGCCTGCAGACACTAACCTCACCCACCCGAAGCCTGGCCGTGGAGGGGCCCCGCGGTTTGCAGGCTCTTGGCCGCTGTGGCCCAGAGCACATGTTCTAGGAGGACTCGGGGCCGGGAGGCAGAAGCACTGGACTAGGGTTGGGCATGAGGGCAGGAGGCTGGGAGGCCCGGGGATGGCTCTGCCTGGCACCCACAGGTCCGTCTCTACGTCAGCAGAATGGGGAAACCTCGGGGCATGATGTCCGTAGTCCGCTGGTGACAGTGTGGCCTGTGTCTAGGTTATGACTGGAGCTAACGGCGAATAACCGGAGGCGTGAGGTGTCCGCATCTCTCGGAGGCTGTTTGTGGCATCAGGATCAAAGTGCCGGGTCTGGTCACTGCAGGGGGCCATCCGGACCCTTTTCTCACATGGGGGGGGGGGGCCTCTCAGACTCCGGCTACGGGGCGTGAACTGGCCCGTCTGTCTCCTTAAGCACAGCTTAGAAACATTTTGCAACGTGAGCAGAGGCCACCCCACCAGTTAGCCCACAGAGCGGGACAGGACCTGACTGTTCAGAGAGGGGACAACAGGCAGTCACCCGTGGCTGATGACAGAAAAGCGCGCTTAAGTGGAGTGAACTGGGGGTGCCCGGCTGCCCGGTCAGTGGAGCAGGACTACTGGTCATGAGTCAAGCCCCACATTGGGGGTAGAATTTAGCTAAATTAAAAAAAAAATTTTTTTAAGATCTTCTAAAAGAAAAGGAGTGAATTAAATCTACATATGTTAACGTTGACAGGCATAAAAGCAACGGTGACCAGAAAAAAGGAAAAAACGACCAGCACACGACATGCTGTCCTTACTGTAAAATACACGTGACATGAAAAACAGCTATGTACTAACAGCTGAGCCTGCTGGATTAGTATATCTCTTGATATTCCAGAAAAACATGCAAATAATATAAAAAAAAAAAAGTCGTGTACATTAAAGCTTGTCGCCTGTGGCATCTGCACCAGATGATTTGGGGTGGTACACCTCGGAGCCTGAGAGGAAGCTCCCGCCGTGTCCCCTCCAGGGGTCACCAGGCTCACCCCACACGGTTCCCACACACGCTAACAGGCACGTGCGTGAGACGCTGGCAGCCTGATGTGCGGAGCGTCATACGTCCCCACACACTGCAGTCGGCTACTCCCATACACCACAGCCCCAAGGTTTAGGTGTGTGGATAATCCGTACTTCGTTCATGCGATGAAATCACGGCAAATGAAAGCACACACGCTGTGTCCCTATTTCCTACTAATGCACCACTAGGTCATTTCTCATCTTCTGTTGAGCGAACGCTGATGCTCACAAATGTCTGTTGTAAGAGTTTCAAACTCTTAGATGTGGACCTGGATTCTGAGATGCATTGCCCCCGCCACCTGGCGAGTTCCAGGTCTGTCTGCCTTTCCACTGACCTGATACACACGCCCTGTGTGTATTCCGCATGTAGGAGACTTCATTTCCCTTCTGGAGAGAGCTGTGTTCTTGGAAATCACATTCCATCTAAGTTTTCAAATGCGTGGGCGTTACGTTAGAGAGACTACTCTCAGCGTTTTCCTCTGCTCTTTGGTTAGCTCACCTTCTGTCTCTATTGATGCTATCGTCCCTCTAGCCGGTCAGTCTTGCCTAAAGATTTCTATGTTACTAATATTTTTACAGGAAAACCATGTGGTACAACTGATTCACTCTTGTAGCTTTGTTTTCTGTTAAGATGACGTATGAATTGTCTTTGGTGTTCAGCAATTTCAGTGGTAACTGGGGAGTGGATATCGTCTTATTTACCCGGTTCCAGACTTAGGGTTCTTGAAGCTGACGAATACTAGAAGCCTGACGGCTGGAAGCTTGACGGCTGTCCTCTGACCCCCGCTCTTCGCCACTCCTGTCTCTTTCTTTCTGGCCCTGCCAGCAGTTACATTCTGGGCCTCTCACTTTGTCCTCCATGTCTTCTAGACTTTCTTTTATGTTTGAACTTCCTCTTGCTACCTTCCCAGGAATTTCTTCTCCATCTTCCAGTTCACTAATTCTCTCTTCAGTTGTATCAAATCTGCTATTTGATCTATTAATTAAGATTTTACTGTCAACAACTAGACTTTTCCTGCCTATAAATTCTACCTGGTTTTTCTTAAATCTTTTTCTGCTATTCTTTCTCTTTTCTTTTCAGTTCCTCCTTTGTGCTCCATCACTTCAAACATACTGATTTTAGCCTCTGATAGTTCTGCTGGCTCAAGTTTTTGGAGAGTTTACCTCTTTGGTTCTTTGTGTGCCCTGCCCATGTGGTCTGGTGAAGCGCTCCACCCCCACAGAAGTTTGCCCGCAGAAATCGTGAGTGGCTGAGGTTTGGAAGAGGGTGCTTCCAGTCTTGCACAGGCTACTCTCAGGAACTCTAGTGATTTGCCCAGAACCACTTCTGTTGATAATTTGGCTTTGTTCTCCTTGAGCTGTGTTGTTAGTATAAATTCAAACCCCAAGCCTGTTTGAGGGCAGACCTATCAGGGAGACCTTGTTCAGACCAAGAGGAGAAAGGTGGGTGTCAAAGCTGCTTCCCTGTGCTAGCAAGTAGGTTCCTTTCAGTTCACTGCGTGAGGGAAAACTCTCAGAGGGTCCTGAGACCTGGGGCTGGGTCTCAGGGTCTCAGGGACCTGGAATGAGGTCAAACTCTGATCTTCTGCTCTGGGTAGGCACTAAAACTCAAGACTCCAGGTTAAGGGGACCGGCAAACCCAACCGGCTGAGCGTGGCATTCCCAGATCACAGGCTCGCCACCGGCTTCTCAGCTCTACCTCCTTTTTTGACCCTTAGATTTCCCACATTTTCTTAAAAGCTTGTCCCTGCCTTTAAAAGGGTATTTGTTGAATGCAGAAAGGATTTTCTCAACCTCTAAGCCTCCCACGATGCTGAAGATGAAGATCTAGTCTCCTGCCTGTGTATATAAGCCAAGCTGGCAGTACGTTTCAGGGGAGGGCGTGCTACAGGGGAACAGAGAGGGAAGGAGCAGGGTGGTTTTGGCATAAGGATCTCCCCATGTCACATGTGGCGTCTCTTACAAATATCTCTCTCTCTCTCTCTCACACACACACACACACACTATACAAAGGCCATAGAGCTATACCTTCTTTTACATGAAAAATAGAAAACAAAGGTGACAAAATATTAACCAGCCACGGTTGTATAAACACTCCGTTATCCTTTACACTTTTCTCCAGGGTGTTGATTTCTCACAGGACACATGAAAGAATAAAGAAGGTAGACGTGTTTGAGGCCTGCGGACCTCGTGTCTCCAGAAGTTCACGAGGCCCGGGCTGCCCTGTGAGAGCCCCGGGGGGGGGAAAGGAAAGCTGAGCGCCTTTACCTTCTCCTGGTACAGTTTATGGAGCCACTGGGCCGCTTCCTTCTCATCCAGCGGGATGTCTTCCAGGGGGAATCTCCTGTTTTGTGGAGATGGAGAGCAAAGTGCCTTACCGTTGGGTGGCATCACACAGAGAAGGGGAAGCAATCAAGGCACGGCGGGGCTACTCGCTGCCCCCTCCCCCTATTTTTTTGTTCACGCCTCACTCTCTATCTCTAAAACCCCACAAACGTCGAAGGCGTCACCGGGTATGGTGGAGTGCCTGGTGCCCTGCGGGACCGCAGGGTCAGGGGAGGACAGGCCAGGAGATCATTCTCCTTCAAGGCAAAGCCAACAAATTTCACAAGAGGCACTGCTGGGTGGTTTAAGGGAGCAGATCGTGCCCCCATTCCCTCTGCAAAGGGCGGGCATTGGCTGGCTGCAGCAGGAGTCTGGGTCTTAATAGCTCGTTCTTTGGAAACAAAGCTGAGAGTGTCTTCCGTTAGGCAAAGAGAACAGAGGGCCGCCTGGGTGGCTTAGTCGGTTAAGCGTCCGACTTTCGCTTGGGTCATGATCTCGCGGTTCGTGGGTTCGAGCCCCGCGTCGGGCTCTGTGCTGACTGCCAGCTCAGAGCCTGGAGCCTGTTTCAGTCTGTGACTCCCTCTCTCTCTGACCTTCCCCTGCTCACACTGTCTCTCTCTCTCTCTCTCCTAAACATAAAATAAAAATATTAAAAAAAAAAAAAAAGAAAAAAAAGGCAAAGACAATGGTGTAATTCACAAATGAAACCTACGTGCTCCAAAATGAAGACCAATAGGAACTTGGGACTTTAATCTTTACTCATAAACAGCCGATTCTGGCGAAGCCACGAACTTATTGATGAGCCTAACCCGGGCCCGGGCGTCCACTGGGGAGACGGACGGGCAAGAATGCGGGTCCACGGCCGCCGCAGCACCGGAGGGCGCCAGTAGGGGGCGCCCGGAGCCTGTGGGCGCAGGAAGGCTGCCCGCCCGCTGGGCCGGAGCGGTCCTAACCCCCCATCTCTAAAAACGGAGAACTTCGCTTTCCGCGGATCATACGTGTCCGTCTTCCCCGTATTTGAGTGAAAACGGCGAGGTTTGACACGCCCACGTGCCATCGGACGTGGGAGCGATGCGGGGTCACAGGTCACGCGGCCGTGGGGACCTCTGGACCCCGGAGTTCTCGGGAACGGGTGTGCCGCAGGTGAGGACACGGGGTTCCGAGGGGGGCTGTCTCCGGGGGGGGGGGCTGCCTGAGGGCGCCACGCCCACTGACTCCCCCCGGCCGCACACGGACGCCCCACGGCGTACGCCACGGCCACGTGTGAGCGACGTCGGCCGTGCGCGGTACGAAAGGTGTAACGTGAGGGCGCGCAACGGTGACAATGACGAAGGCGAGCGCCGGGCTCCCGGAGGGGACCCCGGCCCTGCGCAGCCCCCCGGCGGGGTGGGAGGGGGCGGGGGGGCCCTCCCTCGGGCCGGAGGAGCATGGCTGGATCGTAAGCGTGCTTTAGACCCGGGAAAACCGCTTTTATTCACATGCCGCAGGGGCCACAGAACCGGAAGCGGAGGCCCGGCTCACCTCACGCACATGTCCGCCTCATACTTCTTCCCGTAGAGGATCCCCAGCAACGACGGGTTCTTGTTTCCGCGGAAGTTCAGCGTGACGTCATACACGGCTGCGACTGCGGGGGGCGGGGGGTGAGCCCTGGGCCGGGCCCGCGGCGCCCCCGCGGCGCCCCCGCAGCGCCCCCGCATCGCCCCCGCCCCACAGCGCCCCCGCCCTCGCAGTGTCCCCGCCCCCTCAGCGCCCCCGCAGCGCCCCCGCCCCTGCAGCGACCCCGCAGCTCCCCCGCACCGTTCAGGCCCCGCAGCGCCCCCGCACCCGCAGCGCCCCCGCACCCACAGCGCCCCCGCACCCACAGCGCCCCCGCCCCGCACCCCCGCAGCACCCCCACAGCGATCCCGCACCGTTCTGCCCCCGCAGCGCCCACAGCACCCCTGCACCCGCACCGTTCCACCCCTGCACCCGTGCCGTTCCGCCCCCGCACTGCACCCGCACCACACCGCACCACACTGCAACACTGCAGGTGCCCCCCCCGCAGCACCTGCCCCGCACCCCTGCAGTGCACCCACAGCCGACCCAAAGGGCACCTGCACCAGGCCCGCAGCGGCCCCGCCCCCGCCCAGGGCCTGCGCACCCCGGAACCTGCCCGGCACAGCCCCGCACCCCCCGGCTCATCTTCCTGCCGCGCCGAGGCGGGTTCCCGCAGTGAACAGACTTCCTGCCTGGCGGCTTCCGCCCCCCGCGCCCCCGGCCTTGCCTCCGCTGGGGCCACTCGGGGACCCGTCCTGTCCCTCCCAAGGCTTCGGCTGGGTGCTGCTCCCTCACTTCGTTACTTGTCTCCCGCCGGCACCGCGTCGTGCATCGCGTGCCCGGGGTGGGGGGGCTCACCTGTGCCCCGGAGGCACTGCACCGCCGTGGTGAAGCCCTTGGTGCGCGGCAGCAGGTGGTGCTTGAGGGGGGGCAGCCCCTTGGACGCGGCCACCTCCATGCTGACGCGGTGCTTCTTCTCCGTGAAGCGCGTGCCCTCGCAGTAGAGCAGGAACTGGGGCACGGGGCGGGGGGGGGGCGTTACCGCGAGGGCCCGGGACGCCCCGGCGCCCCCACGAAGGACGGGCTCCGTGCTGACACGCAGAGCCTGCCGGGGACTCCCTCCCTCTGCCCTCCCCTGCTCGTTCTCCCCTCCCCCCCGCGCCCTGTGCCCGCTCAGAGGGCGAGCCCGTGCCCGAGCCGGCTGGCGCGGGTGGCCGGCGGCTGTCCCAGCACCCTCGTGACGGAAGCCCCGCCCCAGGCGCCCGAGGGCGGGTGCTGCTAAGAGCGGGGCAAGGCTTCTCCGGGCTGAAGTGCAGATCTGTCCCCAGGACCACGGGGTCCCGGGGTTTGCTCAGCAGCCCCCCGCGTCTGCCTCCCCCGGAGGTGCCCCCCCAGGAGTCCCCCCCCCCCAGCTGCCCCCCGCAGGGAAGGCTCCTGACGGGCGCTCCAGGTAGCTCCGGCCGCGCAGCGCAGCTGGGGACCCCGGAAGGGGCGCCCCGTGGGCCAGGCGGCGGGGACGGCAGGCGCTCACCCACATGTACTCGGGGTAGTCGGCCAGGCGCCGCAGGCCCTTGATGACCGTGTCGCGGTCTTCCTCCCACTTCCGCTTGCAGAACACGATCTCCAGGAAGTACCACGTCCAGCCGATGAGGGGCACGTACAGCAGCTCCCTCTTCGCCAGGACTTTGGAGCTCTGCGGGGAGGGCAGGCGGGGGAGCTCAGGACCCCCGCGGCGCCCTGGGACCCGAGTGTGTTCGGGGACTTGGCCGTCGAGGAGGAGGCCCTGCTCCGAGCGTGACCCCAGGGGAGCAGGCGTGCCCCCCCCAGACGAGGCGGCCGAGGCGCGGGCCTGGCGAGGGAGGCCGCCCTCCGGCCCCGGGCACAGCGGCTCCCGCCCACTGCGCTCCCGGCCTGCCTGACGGCGCCCTCACGTTAACCTGACGCCGCTCAGCCGGCAGGGGCTCTGGATAAGGTCAGAAACCTGAGCTCAAGGCAATTCCCGGGGAGCCGCGGGGGGCCCTGACCTCAGCTCTGGGAACAGAGGGGCCGGGGGTATGTGGAGGGATGGAAAACCCAGACGCCAGGGACCCCGCATGGCTCACCCCCAGCACCCCCCCGGGACCCCCGCGTGGCTCACCCCCAGCACCTCCCGGGACCCCCGCGTGGCTCACCCCCAGCACCCCCCCGGGACCCCCGCGTGGCTCACCCCCAGCACCCCCCCGGGACCCCCGCGTGGCTCACCCCC